CTCAACATCAATAGTTATCTGAGGTCTGAGAACTAGAACCATAATAAGAAACTATGTCATACACTCTAGGATACATAAAATGAAAGAGAAAAGAACAGGTTTGATGAGGATATTCTTTTTGTTTGCTTTGTTTTTTGAGACAAAGTTTCTCTGTGTAGCTTTGGAGCCTGTCCTGAAACTCTCTGTAGCTCAGGCTGGCCTTGAACTCACAGAGATTTGCCTGTCTCTGCCTCCCCAGTTCTAGGACTAAAGGTGTGAACCACCACTGATGGGCTCAGTGAGGACATTCTTAAATTGGAATTTTCTCCCACTGCTATTGGGAATGTACAATAACACAGCTACATTAGAAACACAGTTTGGTACTTGTTTAAAAAGTTAAACACATTGTTACCATAGGACCTGCAATTATATTTCTAGGTATATAACCAGGAGAATAGGGAAAAATCAAATAATATGTTATTCAGGAATGTTTATAGCAAACCCAAGATAGACAAAATAAGGAACTAAAACCTCTATCAATCAATAGATACAAAATACAGCATATTTGTGTAATGAAATATCATAGAAATCCTGATATTTGTTACAACAGAGATGAACCTTGAAATAATTTCAGTATGTGAAAATGTCAATAAGTCTTACAGCATTATATATTTCATGATTCCATTTATATAAAATTTCCAGAAGTTTCACATAGTCAGAAAGTAGATTGCTAGCTTTCTAGGGCAAGGGAATGGGGTAAGATTTGATAAGAATGAGGGATGATGGCTTATGAGTACAGAGCTTTGTTTTGTTTTGGAGATGATGAAAATTATACTGACAAATCTGTGGCTATACTGAAAACAATGAATTATTTACTTTAACTGGATGTATTCTATACTATATAAATAATAATAAAACTATTTTTATAAAAATTATTTTAAATGACCAAGAACCTTTTACTTTTATATTGCAAGTCCCATCCCATTTTTCTTTTTTATTAAGAGATTTTTCTATTCATTTTACATACCAACCACAAATTCCCCTGTCCTCCCTCCTCCCACCCCCCAGGCTTCCTCCCCAATCCATCCCCCCATTCCCACCTCCTCCAAAGCAAGGTCTCCCATGGGAAGTCAGCAGAGCCTGGTATATTCAGCTGAGGCAGGTCCAAGACCCTCCTCTCTGAGCTAGGCTGTGCAGTGTCTCAGTATAGGCACTAGGCTCCCAAAAGCTAGCTCATGCACTAGGGACAGGTCCCAATTCCACTGCCTGGGAGCCCCCTATACAGTTCAAGCTCATCAACTGTCTCCGCTTATCCAGAGGGCCTAGTCTAGTACCATGGGGGCGCCTCAGCTATTGGTCCACAGTTCATGCCTTTCAGCTAGTTTGGCTAGTTGTCTCTGTACTTTTAACAGATGTGGTCTCAATATCCCTTGCTCATGGAATCGCTCCTCTCTCTCATTGATTGGACTGCCTGGGACCCGGCCGTGGATCTCTGTACCTGCTTCCATCAGTCAGTGGATGAGGGTTCTATGATGAAAGTTAGGGTATTCAGTCATCCGATTACCAGAGAAGGCCAGCTCAGGCATCCTCTCGACCATTGCCAGTAGTCTATGGTGGAGTCATCTTTGTGGATTCCTGGGAACCTCCCTAGCACTCGGCTTCTCCCTATTCCCATGGTGTCTTCATTTATCATGGTATCTCTTTCCTTCCTCTTCCACTTTGTTCCCCTTCCAGCTTGAACCTCCCGCTCCTCTAAGCCCTCATCCCCCGTCCTTTGCCCTCCATTACCCGCCCCTTACCCCCAGTTTGCTCATGTAGACCTCATCCATTTCTTCATCACTGGGCGATCCATGTGTCCTTCCTAGGGTCCTTCTTACTAGCTAGCTTTCCTGAAGCTGTGGGTTGTAGTCTGCTTATCCTTTGCTTTACATCTAGTTTCCACTTATGAGTGAGTACATACCATGTTTGTCTTTCTGAGTCTGGGTTACCTCACTGAGGATGATATTTTCTAGTTCCATACATTTGTAAACCTTATGATGTCATTGTTTTTCTCTGATGAGTAGTATTCCATTGTGTATATGTACCACATTTTCTTTATCCATTCTTCAGTTGAGGGGCATCTAGGTTGTTTTCAAGTTGTGGCTATTACAGTTAATGCTGCTATGAACATAGCTGAGCATGTGTCCTTATGGTATGATGGAGCATTCCCTGGGTATATGCCCAAGAGTGGTAGAACTGGGTCTTGAGGAATATTGATTCCCAATTTTCTGAGAAACTGGCATACTGATTTCCAAAGTGTCTCTACAAGTTTGCATTCCCACCAATAGTGGAGTGTTCCTCTTGCTCCACATCCTCTCCAACATAAGCTGTCTTCAGTGTTTTTGATCTTAGCCAATCTGACAGGTGTAAGATGGTATCTCAGAGTCCTTTTGATTTTCATTTCCTTGATGACTAAGGATGCTGAGCAATTCATTAAATGTCTTTCAGCGATTTGCAATTCTTCTGTTGAGAATTATCTGTTTATCTCTGTAGGCCATTTTTAATTGGACTGTTGGGTATTTTGATGTCTAGTTTCTTGAGTTCTTTATATATTCTGGAGATCGGCCCTCTGTCAGATGTGGGATTGGTGAAGATCTTTTCCCATTCTGTAGGCTGTTGTTTTGTCTTATTGACCTTGTCCTTTGCCCTACAAAAGCTGCTCAGTTTCAAGAGGTCCCATTGATTAATTGTTGCTCTCAGTGTCTGTGCTACTGGTGTTATATTTAGGAAGTGATCTCCAGTGCCAATGCATTCAAGACATTCTCTTCTATCAGGTTCAGAGTAACTGAACTGCCTTTATATGTTACTTGGCCATTTTCCTTTGCAGCTCTTAATATTTTTCTTTATTCTAAATGTTTAATGGTTTGATTATTATGTGGTGAGGGGTCTTTTTTTGGATCCATTCTATTTGGTGTTCTGTAACCTTCTTGTATCTTTATAGGCATTTCCTTCTTTAAATTTTCTTCTATGATTTTTTTGAATATATTTCCTATGCCTTTGGGTTGGTATTCTCTTTCTTCTGTCCCTATTATTCTTAGGTTTGGTCTTTTCATGGTGTCCCAAATTTCCTGGATGTTTTGTGTTATGACATTTTTGGCTTTAGTGTTTTCTTTGACTGATGAATCTATTTCCTCTATTGTATTTTCAACACCAGAGATTCTCTCTTCCATCTCTTGCATTCTGTTGGTTATGCTTGCATTTGCAGTTCCTGTCTGTTTACTCAGATTTTCCATTTCCAGCCTTCCCTCAGTTTGTGTCTTCTTTATTGCCTCTATTTCAGTTTTCAAATCTTGGACTTTTTCATTAACCTGCTTAATTGCTTTTATTCTTGACTTTCTATGAGAGATTTATTGATTTCTTCCATTTTTTTGTTTGTCTTTTCTTTGAATTCTTTAAGTATAGTTTTCATTTCATCTTTAAAAGCTTCTATCATCTTCTTAAAGTCATTTTTAAGGTCTATTTCTTCTGCTTCTTCTACTTTGGGATGTTCAGGTCTTGCTGATGTAGCACCACTAGGTTCTGATGGTGCCATATTGGTCTTATATTGTTGACTGTGTTTTTACACTGGCATCTACCAATCTCTTCCTTCACTCCATGCAAGTGTTATCTGTGTCTGAGGGAGCCTCTTGTGGTCCAGTTGACACTCTTGGTCTAATGGGATCTCTTGATCTAATCCGGGCTCTTGGTCCAATCTGTGCTGTTCCCAACCAGTGCAGGGTCTGCTTATTTCTCTGGTTTTCACTGGTGTCACAGGGGGTTGTTTTCTTGGTGAGGAGGTGGGGGAAGGGACAGCTGGCAGGTCCCTGGGGCTCCAATTGTCCAACCCCATTTTAAAGATTTATTTACTTTTATGTGTATGAATGCTTTGCCTGAATGCATGTCTGTGCAACATGTGCATGCACATGGGACCCCTGGAATTGGAGTTACAGTTTGTTATGAGCTGCCATGTGATCATAACCCAGGTCCTCTGGAAGAGTAGCCAATGCTCTTAACTGCTGAGCCATCTCTCCAGCACTCTATCTGGTGTTTAAAGCTTTCAATTTATCTGCTCACTATCCTTTGGAAAGAGAGACTAGAGTATTTTTTTTTGCCTGAGATCCTTTTCATCTGGACTACAATTCTGTGTCTTGCCTGACTCTGTGTTCATATCAATAAAATATAGAATATACTTAGAGGAAAGTATGGTATGAATAATTGAGGAAGTTAGAGCCCTACATTAAAAACATTCTTTGAGACAATTTCAGCAAAATGGTATACGTCACTAGGTATTGGGCTCAGGATTTCACATATTTTCTATCTCATTTAATTCTCATAAAAGAAACTTCAGTAGCTGATACTATTATTAATATTTTGAAATAAAATACCTGAGACTTGAAAGATTAAATAGTACAGAACTTGAACTCAAATCTTGGGAACATATGTGATCACCCAAAGATTAAAATATTAATGTGATGATAAATAGACTTATTCTAGCAAATTTTGTGTTCTTTTCTTCATCATGGACCCATGAGACAATTATTTTAAAAGATGATATTTGTAAAAAAATTATATTTTTAATAGAAAAATATATAATATATTAAAACTTTTAAACAACTTTATATTTACATTAAAATCCTTGCATATGAATGAGATTACTTTAGGTAATATATTTAACAAATTTCCATTATTGAAAACAGTTACATGAAATTAATGTTCTTTTTTAAAAACCCAAGATACATAGTCTCTTTATTAGGTGTTACCCCAGTGGAAGAAATTGTAGCATGAGTAAGATGAGAGACTTAATTAATGCAATAGTTATAAAGGGTGTACCTTTGATACATTCATTCACTGTTTTTTTTTTCCTACAATCCCCTCAGGTTGTTGTTAATGGTAGCACAGAAAGCAAACATCTTAATGGACCTTACAATACATTCACAAAATATGTATTTATGTGAGCAGGTGCAAGCATGAATGCATGCATCTGAATATAATTTAGATCAAAGGAATAGTAAAAAGTTTTGGCCAATACCTAAATACTTAATTCTATTATATTTCTGGCCTTGTGGCTAGAGAGAATCACAACATAGAAAAGGAGAGTATAAATTAGCAAGAATGTTTTTAGAAGATCCTGCCACTATTTTGCTGATTTTACAAGGCCTATCTCTAATATTTTATTGTATGTCAATGCATACCTGATGTATTTTAGGTTTTCCTCCCACAAGTTTATTTTAGCCACTTTATGAGTTTTTCAGTCATGATTGTGAAATTTTTCTCTAAATATCACAAGCCAATTGGCATATACTTAAAAATATTAGAAAGGTTAAAACCTATTTCACAATTGTTTCAAAATGCATCTAAGGAAACTCGGGGTTATTAATTTTGGTGGCTAATGCTATGCAGTAGAAGCAAGAAACAATTTCTTCCTAGCTTTTAGATTAATCCTATCTTAGATGGTTTAAGACCACCCTCTCCTTTTCATCTATTTCCTTGACTCATTTATTCTTTGGGTAGCTAAACAATAGTCACTAGATTTTAAGCACTCTATGCTTAATTATTTTCAGTCCTGAAGAAGTTAGAGTAAAAGAAATGTGGATATGCTAAATCTTCAAACAAAAACTAATCAAATTTTGTTCAGTATGCCTTCTTTTTATTGATTTCTTCTTTTTACTAAAATTGTTAATAGAAGCAGAGACATTTGAGTGAAACACTTGTTTTTAATTGATATTCTCTTTATGGAAATGTGATACCTACACACAATGGGATTTTATTAAGCTGTAAATAAAAATGAAATTATGAACTTTGCAGGTAAATAGATGGAACTTGAAAATATTATACTGAGTGAGGTTAAACAGACCCCATAAGACAAATCTCACATGTTCTCATTCATACATTGAGCCTAACCTTCTTTAGATTTGTGTATTTAACTTGGTGTACCTGTGGATGTCAGGAAACTAGAAAAGGCCCATTGTGGGCAAAGTAGAAAAAAGATCTTAAGAGAGTGAGGATAGCAGAGCATAGTTGACATGAAAGAGAAAAGGGGAACATTGGGGAATAAATTTTAAATGAGTTCAGGAATTGGAGAGTAGCGGAGAGGAAGAATAGGAAGAGAAATAATTAACACCAAGAATGTTTGAAAACATATGGAGAGCTACTATATTATATATATACTCCCAGAACCTATAAACTGTCAAACAAAAATTCATATGCCAGGGTTGGAGAGATGATTCAGCAGCTATGAGCACTTGGGGTTCTTGTAGAGGACCTAGGTTCAGTTTCTAGCACCCATATTGAGTATATTACAACAAATCTCCCAGCTGCAGAAGACTGACACATTCTTCTGGCCTATGCAGGCACTTACATGCACACACACACACACACACACACACACACACACACACACACACACAAACACATAAATAAAAATATTTTTAAGGCATTTTAGTGCCAAGTGTGGACTATCTTCCCTTTAGTTGTTGATTAGGAGTATCACAGATCCTCCCCCTCAATCCAAAAAAACAATGCAGGTTACAGATATTGCTCTTGGTTGCCCACAAGAATCTGGTGGAATGAGTCTATTGCTGAAGACACCAAATACTTTGGTCACAGGATATAGAGAAATCAAGTTGGTATTGACTATGAAGCTTCTTTCCTGCCAGCTAGGTTTCATATTACAAGAGGGGGCTATACAGGCTAGTAGAGCAAAGAAATCATCAATAGTCATACCCACTTGTGAACTCTGAGAGAGCTAAAATAATAACTGGTATGCCTAGAATGCCTCTGGCTGCAATAGTGGCATGAATGTTATGGAATTAGCCAACTACTTTCTGATTGAATTTAAGGCCAACTACACAGGAGGAAATATATGCCTGGTACTAAAAATCTGGCCAAAAACTCATGGCTGGGGAGCCCATGGGCCCCAGAGGTGAACATACTCTTATTTTGTTAAATGGACATAGCATTAAATTCCCTCTAAATTTGTAGATTAATGCAGCTCTCAGATCTCATCAGAGAAGCTGAAACTTATAACTTCCAAACACACAGAAGAAATATCTGTGTAAATAAGACGTCTATATCATACTCCCTTCCTCCAAGGCTCATGTATTATCTTGGAAGACAGAACAGAAAAATTGTAAGATCCAAAGACTTGGGAGGACTGGAATAGTCAATCGAGAAGGAAGAGGAGTAGACATGAAACAAATAAGTAAATAAGGCAATTTCAGATTGTGATAAAAATGTGTCACTAAAATGCATAAATATATAAATACAACCCGATGAGTTCATTTTTGTTGTTTGTTTGTATGTGGTTGCAGGACTCACCACTTTGTATTAGACAATTAGGGGCACATACCTAGAATAGACTAACTCTCCTCAGAGAAGTCATAAGTTGCCTACAGTTTTTTGTCTAGGTGTGTGACCCCATGAGAGTTTTCTTCTTCCACATTAACATGTCTATTGATGTTGTCATTGTCAGATCTTATTTATGCAGCCATTTCTATGATAGACTGTTTCATGGAAGACTTCCTGGTAGTTTAGTTCTTAAAATCTTTTTATCCCTTTTCTGAGAAGTTCCCTGAGCCATAGATGCAGGAGCTGTGATATAGATGTATCCACTGGGGTTGGGCTGTTGTGACCTGGTTGATCTCTGTTTTGTTTTCAGCTGTGGTTTTCTTTTCTTTTTTCTTCTTTCTTTCTTTCTTTCTTTCTTTTTCTTTCCTTTCTTCCTTCCTTCCTTCCTTCCTTCCTTCCTTCCTTCCTTCCTTCCTTCCTTCCTTCCTTCTTTCTTTCTCTTTCTTTTTTTTTTTTCGAGACAGGGTTTCTCTGTGTAGCTTTGCACCTTTCCTGGAACTCACTTTAGAGACCAGGCTGGCCTCGAACTCACAGAGATCCGCCTGCCTCTGCCTCCCAAGTGCTGGAATTAAAGGCGTGCACCACTACCGCCTGGCTCCAGCTGTGGTTTTCTGTGATGGTCTCCATTTGCTGCAAAGAAAAGCTTCTTCTTATCAGAGGTGATCTACACACCATTTGTGGGTAAAAGAACAAAATTCAGATTGTAGACAGGTATTAATGTTGGTCTAGAAAAGTGGCAGATCTCTTTTAGATACAGGACTTCATTAGCCCCAGGTTAGGTTTCTAGTACCAGACATGGTTTCCCTCCTGTTGAGTTGACCTTAAGTTCAAATAAACAACTATTTTTTACTGCACCTTTATGGGTATCTTGCCATCCTGGTCATTGTTGTGGTTCATAGGTGTCACAGATAAATAGGAATGACTATTAATTACTTCCCTTCTTGGCAGCTTGTACACTATTTTCTGGTACTATGGAAGCTAGACCACAGAATGGAAGCTTTCAGATTAGAATCAGATCATATAATCTGGGTCCTGTGTCCTAAATGTAAAGTATCTTGAGCAATAAGAGCTTTCCTTCAACATCTGAGAGGCAACCAAGGGCAATAACCATAGTCAATATTATTTTAAAGGAGGTTTTTTTGTGCCTAGTACTGAGGTTTCTGTCAGTCTATAGTTCTTTATGGGGACATTGACAGCTCTAGCTCTTAAAAATCTTTTAAGATATATACACCTATATATGCATACACTTATATGTATAATTTTTGGTAACTGTAAAATAATGATTCCTTGAAGTTTTTTCAAACAACCTTGGTGTTTATCCCTTCCCATCCTTCTTTTGTATTGACCTCCCTTCCCCATCCCATTTGGAGCCTACCTCCCCATTTTTCATTTTCTACTTTCTATGTATCATTCCAATTTTAGTATATGTGCTGCCGAAGCGAGCACCATTTTCTACTCTCTATCACCTGCATCCTGCTTTTTTCTACATGGTTCTTTTATATTTGTGGTTTCTGTGGTTGATCCATGTTAAATAGTCAACATCTGAAGATTTGGGACTAGGAACAGTAAACAAGAGAATATGTATTGTTTATCTTCTTGAGTCTGGGTTACCTCATTCAATATGCTCTTTAAGAAGTAAAGTTATCAAGTGATAATAAATACCATGGAGAAGGATTTGGAAACTTGAGGAGAGTATAAAAAATAAGGCAATTGTAGGATAGGCTGAATATTGCTTCGGGACCTCTGAAGATTTTTTTTTTTAAATCACGAATTTTAAAAGATGAACTTCTTTTGAGAAACTTGGGTCTTCTCTCCATGATACAGTGTTCTCCTGTTTCCAGGTATTATTATCATAGAGATGGCCCATATTATTTAAAATTTTGCAAAACATCATTGACATTGAAGAGGAGAAAAAAACAAGCCAGCTTCTTTGTCCGTGATTTTCACTAGATAGGCTCCTAGTCAGACTGTTCTGGTTAGATTAGATGTACCACCATATCTTCAAGCACATGATGATTTAGTTCTTCATAATACTACTACGAGTTTCACTTTTTCTTAATTTCTTTCATTTTTGTGACACACAGATGGTGTTTACACTCTTTGATTATTTATTTAAATGTTTAATCTGGTGGTTCATGTACTCTTGTACCCTAATGGATTCCTCCTCATGGCCTTTTCTTATTTAAAATTAAGGCAGGCCATGACTTGTTTCATGGTGTATTGGGCAAATTCACTCCCTACTCTCTCTGCATCAACATGGAGGGAAAACAATAAATCCCTAATGCTGATTATGGTCTTTCAAATTTTTCTGAAATATGATATAAAAGAAACGTTTTTCATGGAGAAAGTAAAACCCACATTTTTCATGCTTCTGGAGTATGTAAAGAGGTTCAGCTTTGGGTTCAACTACTGTTAGACTTCAAAGCAGAGTGACTACATTACTTATGTCTGCTTGTAATTTTCCTGGAATCATTAATAGTTTCATCATTTCTACAAGTTTTTTGGTTTGAAATAGATGGCACTGACTGATAGTTAATAATAGATAATTCTGAAAAAAACAAACAAACAAACATGTCTTTACTAACTTGCTGGTGATCTCTCTTGACTCCCAAGTGCATATAATAGTGGATTGCCACAATTTCTCCAGTGATAGCATTACTAACACACCAAAGGCCTGAGTTTAAAAAATGCAATCTCACCATTTCAGTTTCTCTCTGGCCTTAATTATTCTATATATCTTTACTTTCAAGTTTTGTCTAAAGTACTTTGCTGTATCTGCTTACTTGGAATAAGGCTAAGTGTAGACTAATGAGTTTAAATTAAGCTGATGGCTGGAGTGATGACTCAGCGGTTAAGAGCACTGGTTGTACTTCCAAAGGACCTGAGTTTGATTCCCAGTACCCATGTGACAGTTCACAACTATTTGTACATCCAGTTCCAGGGCATCTGACACCCTTTCTGTCCTGCACAGACTCTACACACATGTTGTGCACAGACATACATACAGGCAAAATCATTAATACACATAAATATTAAAAAAATAAAAAATAGGCCCCAAATGGATAAGTCAAAGTGTATAAGAGTACAATAATTCTATATCTTTAGGCATCTTTGCAGTTTGTTTGAGGATCCTTCCCCTCAAAGCATCCATGTTACTCAATCTAAAAATTCTTTTATGACCATGAGTCCAAACTTTAACCACAAGAAATGCACTCTTCCCTCTTGCCTGAGAGAGGAAAAGGCATGAACCAAAGAAATTACATCCACCATGAAAAGAAACGTGGCCCCTTTAAGACCTGAGACCAGGAATACTCTGACATTATGACTCTGCCCATTGTGATATCAGAGGCTTAGTAAGAAGGTTACAGGCACAAGCTCACTTGTCTGAACAAGGTTCACCAGAGTTTTCCCAGGATTTATGGCCTTTCTATTATGCTTTATCATTGCCTTGTATTTCCTCCTGAGGAGGTTTTTTAAGTCGAAGAAGAAGAAGAAAAAGCCCAGAGACAGAAGAGACAATTTTAAACAGTAAAAGAAAAATACAGGGTTAGTAGGCCTTTTCAGGTGATATTTAATCTCTTTCTTATCTTTCATATTATTATTACTCTAAGATTCTTTACCACTCTAAGGTGATTGTGCATAGGATCTGAAAACTGGGGATGGATCTTCATGTATAATTCATATCATTTAACCATTTCAATGTCAAAGTACATATGTAGCTTTATAGACTATCTGAAGCTTCCTATTGTCAAATTAATTGTATGAAAGTGGTTATGTAAACTATCCGTGATTTTGAAATGGCTATCTAAATAGCCACAATGATTTCCATGGATTGTTTTTTTCTTAAAAATTCATTCTAGCCGGGCGTTGGTGGCGCACGTCTTTAATCCCAGCACTCGGGAGGCAGAGCCAGGTGGATCTCTGTGAGTTCGAGGCCAGCCTGGACTACCAAGTGAGTCCCAGGAAAGGCGCAAAGC